CGCACAGGTGAGAACACATCACAGCACACCTGCTTTTTCCCTTATTTACTGGTTCATTAGGAAGCACCCTTTGACCTCCGTACAGTGCCCTGATTGGTCCATGAGCTCTGCCGGTGCAGGGGAAAGCTCACCTGTGGCTCTCACAGCTGCAGGTGTGAGCCACAGGTGAGCACCAGCTCAGCTTTACTGACAAACATTTAAATCACAATAAAACTCTCTCGTGCAGCTTTGCAGTCTGTAATGCGCGCGCACGCGTGCGACACAGATAAACGGGTGACCGGCTCCTCACCTCCGTACTCTCCGGGTTCTCCGCTCAGCTGCCCGGCTCCCTCGGCCCCGGAGGCGGCCAGCAGCAGCATCTGCAACTCCTCCAGCTTCGGGTATCCGTCCAGTGGGGACAGCGGCGGCGGCAGACCGGGTAGCGGCTCCGGCAGCAGAGCCCTTGTGGCCGCCATGTCCCTGCGGGGGGAGCTCCTCGGCTCCCGGAGCTCCTTCGCTGCTGAGCCGCGCGGAGAGGCGCTCTGTCCGGGCGGAAGCTGCCGCTCGCGGGACGCCAACGCTGGAGGTGAGACTCTACCGGAGGGTCACCGGCGCAGGTGAGGCCGCTGCGTCATCAGAGGATGTAAACAACATCAGCTGTTTGTTTCTGGCTGTCGCGAGCGCACAGCCTGAACTCGGTGCTGTCAGGTCCTCTCGGAGGATTCCCGCCTTTATAAAGACTCTTGCGTGACGTAGATTCCCAAATATGGCGGGTCGGAAGCCCATATTTGGTCCGAGCGGGGCGCGTGCTTCCGCGGCCGTCCGCGGTCCCGGCGCCCCTTGTCCCGCGCTTTCAGGAGCGCCCACGGTTCGGCCCGGTCCGGGGCTCGGCCTGGCCGCGTACCCGCCGGACCGAGCCCGAAACGCGGCGCACGGGCGCGCGGCCAGACGCCATGGCCGGAAACCCCGGAGACACGTCACGGCTCCGCGCTGTGTTTGAGGGCCCGACGTCACGTGGAGCGCTTCCAGCCGCGTCATCACTTCCTCCTGCCTTATTTGGGTGGTTTCCTGTGAGCGCGGCCCCGAGCCGCTCTCACCCGCGTGCACGGCCGGGAACAGCGTGAAAACAAACCGGCACGTGCGACAACAGCGCTCTATGTACGAGGAACGGACAGAACATTAGGAACAGCTCCGTACAGGGAAACGCAGCAGCTGCAGTTCCGCTGGCCGCCAGCAGGGCTCCACACACGCCTGAGCTGTGTCCGAAGCAGTTCCGGTCTCCGAGCTTACATTTAGTTTTGTACAAACTCAAGAAAACGTTCAGTAAAAACAACCACAGCCCTCACCTGCTGAGGCCCAAAGGCACACCGGCAGTCATTAGAGCCACAATAGAAAAAAACATCTCCACATCTGAGACTTCTAAGAGAAGCGTGGCAGGAGAACATGGCCTCCAGCTGGAGAGGGGAGACCGGTGTTCTGACAAACCGACCGACCGTCAGTAGTTCACGCACATTTCTGTCACAGAGTGATTCCAGCACAAGTTTAAGTAGGTATGACGGTTTGCCACTTAACTTTGCCCATCAGTACAGAACAGCTGGCACAGGTGAGGATGAACTCAGGTGTCCAGGATGGGTGTTGATGATGTCACAGAGTGTTCACAGGGAGGCGTGGCTTCTCCAGGAGCAGGTCTGTCTTTAATAAACGGCGGTGTTGCTGCTGCAGGTTTAAACTCACTGAACCTGAAAGTAAAGAAACGTCAGCGAGCGCCACCGGGTCACCTGTGCATCGTTGTTCCAGTCTGTGAAACATGTCCGGTCACATTCACAGCTCCACATCCAGGTGAGGTCTAAGGGATGTTACCTGTGCAGCAGCAGCCTCTGATTGGTCTGTAAGCTTTGCCTCACTGTTACATTTAAGCTTCAATGACAGCACACAGGCTGAGAGAGCAGGAGCAGGAATACACAGGTGGTGCTCAGGTAGAGTCACCACCTCAGCCTTTGTTAGCAGTTCTGTTAGCACTGCTCTCCCCAGGGCTGAGTGACGAGCACACCTGTGTGGGGTGGGGGAGGAGTCTGCCGACAGGGACGAGATGGAGCGGCTGAAGGCGTGGAGCAGGGACAGCAACCTGCTCCAACACAACCACGACCATGGAGACGGTCGTGGATTTCAGGAAAAGAAAAGTAACATTAAACCACTTTACATCAGTGACGATGGTGACGGACACGCCACAGAGGACACGTCGTGGGGGTGAACACAGCAGAGACTTTATTTCCTGATGTACTTTCTTTTTTTCTCAAACCTTTATTTAAACATCAGTACAATACAAAATGGAAT